CTTTAGTAGCGCATTAGCCATACATAAAGCAAAGATAGCCGCCAAATAAGCTGACTATGTGTCTGTGTGTGTGTGTGTGTGTGTGTGTGTGTGTGTGTGTGTGTGTGTGTGTGTTTGTGCGTGCGCTGATGTGTGCCTCACTTCCGCATGTAATTGTAGTTACAATGTCACAATCACTAGACCATATAAACGCAAGCAAACAAGGCTGCACAGCAAGTGGCGAAGACAGCACACACACACACATGCAGAGGGGGCGTAAACAACACACACACACACACACTTATGCATATGGCGCTCGTCCTGCTGCTGCTGTTGCTGGCTTTTGTGTGGGCTTTTAAGTGGGCACTACTCGCCCACTTGGGCGCTTTATTAGCAAAGTGAAACTTAGACAATGCCTGGCTGTCTCACAGCTCTCGCCCACACACACACACACACACAGAGACAGACACTCTAGCACACACTTACACACTCAGAAGGAGCAACGGCTCTGCCACAGCATTGCCTTGGCAATATTTACAAGTCACTTGTTTTTATGCCTACATTAATTATGCGCGCTTTTGCCTTTTGCCTTGGTTTTTCGGGCAACTTTCTCTTGGCTTGTCTTTGATTTTGATGCCATTGCCATAATTCCAGGCAGGCTTTGGCTTTTGGTGGCGCTCTGCTCTGTGCTCTGCTCTGGTTCTGTGGTTCTGCTGCTGCTGCTGCTGCTTCTGGCTGTGTTTGTGTGTGCTTTGGCGCTTGGTTGTCAACACGGCTCCACTCCGACTTGATCTGGTCATATTTTTTCTTACTTTAAAGCCCTGGCTTGAGGATTCTTCAATAAATTTTGGCACTCATGTCTGTGGTATGTGCCGGTGGCAACTCGGCAACTCGGCAACTCGGCAACTTAATTGGATGCCGTTCAAGTTGCTGTTGCAGTACTCTACTCTCTCTCCTCCCTCCTCTCTGCCTCTCACACTCAACCGCTCCGCTGCTGTGGTCATAAATGTCAGCCAGGTCGAGCTGCATTAACTGACCCAGTTGAGCTCTATCCTATGGCTTGGCCCCTGCCCCTCCGCCTCCTCCACGCCCCATTTCGTGTCCACGAGTGCCTTTTAATGGGATTATTGCGCAGTGAAACGTATAATGCGTCAGCCTCGACACTCTCTGCGTTTTGCAGCTGCTTTGAGCTCTTGGCAAGAAGTTGCAGTTTCTGCAGCTGCTGCTATCTCGGCCCGGTTTGTGTGTGTGTGTGCACTTTTTGGCAGACGCTGCGTATGCGTGATGCGTGTGTCCCATACATATATATATGTATGAAATGCTCTCGCACTACTTACAGATTCCTTTTGGCAACCGCTATCAATGTATACATACATACATTATTAAGTCTTAATATAAATCTGTATTTATTGCATTACTGCACTGGCCCTTAAAATCTGGCTTGGAAATATGCAGCAACTATCTACTATACATTATGGGAGAGCTTTTAGTGCATACAAATAATATGATATTATTATGCTGCATGCCTGAAATTGATTTACCAGCTGTGGGTAGCCTCGGCCAGCTCTGCTTATTGTTGACATAGTTAAATTGATTCAATTCCAGGCATTATCCAAGAATTTTCATTTGTCCTCCGCTCGCCGCCAACTCTTGATGAATCACACAAATCACTCCGCACTTTTCCATGCTCCATTGCGTTTTTCTGCTCCTCCACTTTCCATTTGCCATTTGCATTTTGCATTTTCACCGTCATGCGCCATTAGGAATTTTTTGTGCCGCCTTTTCTCTAACTGCATTCAAATCAAGCAACAAGAAAATGCAGCCACAGTAGCTGGAATATTTAAATTGAAATTTCTATTTATTTTTTTTTTTTTTTAATTTTTATTAAATTCTTCAGTTTAATGCGTTTTTTATTTGGTTTCATTTCTTTTTATGCTTTTTACAATTTGCTTCATTCGTAATCTTTTTTTTTTTTTATCATTTAACTTAGCAAATTAATATATCTATATATATTTATCTTAATTTATGTTAGGTGTGTGTGTGTGTGTGTGTGTCGGTGTCGGTGTCTGTGTCTCTGTGTGTGTATTGTTTATTGTGTTCTCTCTCAATTATTAATGCTCATTGTTGTTTAAATGTTTTGTTGTCGCGTTTATGGCGCTTTATATATTTATTTATTCATAACCGTTTTCCATTACCTAATTCTAACTTAATATATCGTTTTTATTTATACAGCTAAAATAGTTCTTGTAAATTATGGGCGTATTTTAAAATGTTTTTTGAATATTTTTGTTTGTTTTTGCCTTTAGAGTGTTTATAATATTAGATTCAGTTTTACAATGCTAAAATTTACTTTTTAAATGTTTTTATTTTATTTTATTTTTTTATTTTTTATTTATATATATTTCAGTATTTCGATTTCCATTTAAATTTTCGGTGCATTTTGCCAACTAACTCACTTGGTGAAATTAAAACTAAATAATTTGCTATATACGCAACTGTAAGTGTGTATACCTGTGTATGTGTACGTGTATGTGTGTGTGTTTTTTTACAGCTATGATTTCCTATATACTATATATTTATTTCATTTACAGTAATCAGTAGTGTGCTTAAATGATTGCTTCTGCATTTCTCTCAGCTCAATGCAGTTTATTAATTCTGTTTTTCTTTTTGCTACTCGATTTTAACTCTTACAACATTCGAAATTTGCTTTCCATTTTCGGCTCAACTTTTCACCTTCATCGCTATTTGTTTCAATCTTGAATTCCTTTATGTACACAGAAAATATTTTGAAAATTTGAGAGAATTCCTATTAACTGAAAAGCTAGTGCAAAAGTGTAAAGCAAAATAATGTAAAAAGTAAAAAGTTATGCGTATTTGAGAGTAACTGAAAGTTATGAAATTTATAAATTCAAAAGCAAGCAAAATATTGATATTTTTGGCTGACTACAAATCTATTTTGTTATCAAATTTAAATAAAATTGTGTGGTTAAAGTTAAATAAAATTAATGTTTCTTTGTAGCCAAATATTTATAGTTGAATGTAAAGAGAATGTATTTTTTAGTGATTTTTTTCTTGCACTTCTATAGCTAATTTTCTTTTGACTATAAGTACAAATAACTAGCAAAGTATTTGGATCAAGCGAACAATCTTTTTAACTAATGCATTTTTTACAAAGATATCTCTTTATCTCTTTTATTAACTGAGAAAAAATAAAAAATGAAAAAAGGTAATTTATATAATTTAATAATTTAAAGTAACTAAACATTATATAATTTTGGGTAATTTTAAGTTTCATTTAGTTAACATTATTTTTGTCCATATTTGTAGTTTAACTCAAGTTCAAATAAATAGTAAATACAATTCGCAAACTTTAAGTGATTAAAAAAAATATATATATATATATATGTATATTGCTTTACCGTAATATATATATATATTTATATTCAAATGGTTTTATTTATTTTGTTTGTAATGCATATTATTCATAGCAGGTATTATTAAAAAAAAAAATTATTATTCATCTCTTTAGAATTTTTGAAAATCATTTAAAGCTTTAAATGCTCGAATCCTTCACTTTGCCATCATGAACACTCGCTGTTGCCATACCCAATTTGGAGTATTTAAAGATTAGTTTTGTTAAAATTAAGCAGTTCTTAGTGTCTATTTAATATATGCTTTAGTCCTACTTATTTACGATATCTACGCTGCTCTGTTACCCGGAAATACCTGTGCTAGTCGAGTGCCAGTACACCTTGTCGTATTGATATAAGATGAGATGTTCACACGCCAATAAAAAAACAGCAATAGGAAAGGGGAAGAAGAGGAACAAGTTTATATGTCAAAGTCGAATAACAAACAGATTAAATTATTTAAATGCAGCCAGGCGCTGCTGTGTCCCAAATTAAAATTTCATAAACTAGAGCAGAATGCCAAAGGGATGCCAAACCCTCAATGCCACTCGCGACTCGGCCGGAGCACTTGGCACTCCAGCTAAGACGCTGCATCGCCCATCCACTTGAGCCCGTTCCCCGCGCTCGAAATCCTTTGTGTCGCCGAGCAGGTGTCGCCATGCCAACACACAGCGCCTGGAGCCACTTGAGTGTGGAGCACGCTGAGTTGCCGCCTGCCCGGGCAATGGCAATGGTTGCCAGCATGCGACATGTGGGCACCGCCGAGTCAATTGTCAGCTAACAACGGCGCCAAAAGCAACTCAATCGGCAGGCAAACAAACCAACAAAAGCCCCACAAAACAGTGACAAAATGTAGGCATAGGCCTGGTCTGGCCTGGTCTGGCCCGGCCTGGCAATTCTCCTGCCTTGCTGCTTGTTTTTAGGCATTTTTTCTTTTGCTTGGCTTTTTTATGGCTTGAGTGAGCGAAAGAGAAGACAGAGAGAGAGAGAGAGCAAGACGCTGAAAAGTTTATATTAAATGAAAAACTTTTTCAATTACATCAACGGAAATAAAATGCTGCCAGCTTGCCACTCGAGGCACGCATAGACACGGCAGCAAAGAAAAAGGAGTCTGCCCCAACAACAGCCACAACAGCAACAACAACTACGACGACAACAATAACAACTGCCAAAGATGAAGTCAGAGCTAGGGACGAAGCTCTAGTCTTTTGTTTAGCTGCGCGTCTTTGTTTTTCGGCTTTATTAGGTTAGGCCAGCTCTCTGCCCTTTTGCCATACCCTTTGCCGTGGGCCCAGACAACTTTGTCAACAACTTTGAACTGGCCCAGAAGGCAAAGTATATGTCTGAGGTCATCTGGATTAGCCTTCAATTTGCATTTGCCGATGTGGTGCAGCAGCAAATGGGTTTCTAATTGCACTAAAAATCCATTTCGGCAACAATATGCAAATCGAGCAGGAGAAGAAATTATTTAATTGTGCTAGCTTTTTGCTTTTCGTTTCTGATCTCTGTTAGGGCATATTTTATTCGGTTTGCTAAATTCTTTTCACATTTTATATATATATATATATATATATATATATATATATATATATATATATATAATATTTTTTCCATTTTTCTTCTTCTTGGATTGGGATGTGGGGTTATCCTGGTCTTTTGTTTGCTTGCTGTGGGCAACAAAGGATACGGATACACGTATACGAACACAAGACTAATTCTATTTCTGTGCGAGTATGAGTGTGGATGTGTCTCTGTCTGTGTGTGTGTGTGTGTGGGTGTATATGCGTGTGTGTGTTTACAGAGCCACAGAATCGTCTAAGGCAGCATCCTGGCCGGCAGCAGCGCCGCGTTGTCAAATGTCGCTCGTCTCCTGCGCATCACCCACATAGCCCTCGTCCGGACTGTCCGCCAGGGGACCATTCAGCTGCTTTAGCTTAGCTGCGTCCGTCGCCTCAGCGCTACTGCTGGCCACACACTCGGACTCGGCCATGGCTGCATTCGAGCCGCTGGGCGACGTCTCAGTCTCGTCCAGCTCGGGTATGGTGGTGTTGCTCTCCAGCGTGGGCGCGGGCGTTGCTGCTGCTGCTGCTCCTGTTGCTGTTGTCGCTGCTGCTCCTGCTGCCGCTGCTGCTCCTCCTGCGGCTGCTGCTGCTGCTGCTGCTGTTAGCACTGGCGATGGCTGGCCGAGGCCGTAGCGCAGCGGCTGCGCATGATAGCCGGGCAAGCAGCTGGGCCACTGCTGAAAGGCTGGCAGCGGCAGATCGCTGCTCTTGTAGCCCTCGGGTGGCGAGGGGAACTGCTGCTGCTGCTGCTGCTGCTGCAGCTGCAACTGTTGCTGCGGATAGCCCTCGGCCGTGAAGCGCACATTCGGCAGCTGATACTTCTCGTAGGCTACGGCGGGCGCGCGCTGCACAAACTCCGCCTCCATGCTGTACCGAAGGCTGGCATTCTGTGCGGCTGCAAATTGCTGCTGCTGCTGCTGCTGCTTATGGGCGCGATTATGGGGCAGCGTGCGGTAAAAGTTCTGCTGCTGCTGTTGCTGCTGTTGCTGTTGCTGCTGCTGCTGGTGCTGCTGCGGTGCGGCGGCCACCTGCTGCACCAGATGCGCACTGCTGTAGTCGTAGGCATAGCCATCCTGGCCCAAAAAGCAAACCGGATTCAGGTGCACATCCACCTGATGCGGCGATGTGGCTGCCGCCGCAGCTGACGCCGAGCTCAGCACCGACTTCAGTTGCATGCCGCGCGGCAGCGTTGTCATCGCGGCAGCGAACCGCGAGCCCATGCCCCCCAGCATGGCATGGGCGTGGGCATGGGCATGGGGCGAGGCCGCCGTCAGCTGATAGCAGCCCTCGTACTGTCCGCAATCGCTGGCCGTTTCGTAGTCCGCGGCGCCGTCGAGCGAGACGGCCGTCTTCAGCTTGTGCTTGACACTTTCCGCATCGTTGACCAGGTCGGGATTCTTTTCCGGGTAGTTGCGCAACGATGCTGGCGGCGAGCAGTAGGCGGCAGCCAGGCCATTGCTCAGCAGCAGCGGCGGCGAGCCGGCAGCGGCAGCTGCTGCTGCTGCGGCATTCATCATGTTGACGTTCAGCTGCAACTGTTGCTGTTGCTGCTGCTGATGTTGCTGCTGCTGTTGGTGCTGCTGCTGCTGCTGCTGCTGCTGCGAGTGCGTGTTGGGCGTGGCGTACAGCAACAGATTCTGCTTCATTTGACCGCCCAGAATGAGTCCGCCTGCGCTGCCGACGCCAATGGTGCCGGGTCCGCCGGCGCTGCCATTGCCGGCCTTGGTGGGCGTGAGATTGTCGGCGAGCATGAGGCCGGCGCCGCCATTGAGGCTGTCGCCGTCGTTCAGTATGGAGGCGCACTTCATCATGCCGGTGTCCTGGCTGCTGCCGTTCGTCGAGTCCGTGGCGCCGGCAATGCTCGTCACCTGGTCGCACTTCTTGCGCTTGGCCGGCTCGGCGCTGCGCTTGCACTTGACCACAATCGTGCAGAGCAGGACGACGAAGATGATGGCGCCGCCGGCGCTGCTGGCCACAATGTAGTTCATGTAGTCGCGCGGAAAGGACACCTCATTCACCACCGGCGGCTCCTTGATGATCACGCGCAGCGTGTAGTTGCTGAACGTCGTCCCGGCAATGTTCTGGCCCACGCAGGAGAAGGTGCCATTGTCCTCGGCGCCCACGTTGTAAATGAAGATCTCGCTGCGCTTCTCCTCGGCGCCGCTGCCGCCGCTCTCGTCAATGTAGTAGTACATGTGGAGATTGTCCAGCAGGCTGTCGTTGCTCATCACCTGGCCGTTGAAGAGCCACAGCACCTTCGGCTCGGGTATGGCGCGCACCAGGCACGTGATGGACATGTTCCGGCCCTCGCTCACCTCCGTGTAGCTCGACTGCGGACTCACCTCGGGCAGGCAGGCGAGCTGCTGCCGCTGCAGTCCCTTGATCGGCTGGCCCTTCAGCCGTGCCGGCTCCATGCACTTGGGCTCCTCGGCCAGCGGCGTATTGTGGCTGACCAGCCACCCATAGACGTCGAGCAGCCGGCAGTCGCAGTTCCAGCGATTGCTGTGCAAGCTAATCCCATGCAGAGATTTGGGCAGAATGTGTGCGCCCTGAATGAAGGCGATGCGATTGCCGTCGAGGCGCAGCCACTCGAGGTTGTCCATGCCCACGAAGGCCTCGTTCTCGATGCGCTCCACCTGGCAGTTGGACAGCTCCAGTGTGGTCAGGAAGGACAGGTGGCGGAACGCCGACGTCTTCAGCTCCCGTATCGGATTGCCGCTGAGCGAGAGCCGCATCAGTGAGCTGTAGTCCTGAAAGGTCTCGCTGGGCACATGCTGCAGCGCATTCTCGCTGAGGTCCAGCTCCACCAGGTTGGTCAGGCCCCGGAAGGCCTTCTCGTGTATGCGTATCAGTTGGTTGCGCGACAAGTAGATCTTCTGCAGATTGAGCAGATCCATGCGCAGGAAGCGCTCGCTCTGCAGCACCTGCAGCCCGTTGCCGCTGAAGTTGAGCACCTGTGTGCCCGGATCCATGCCCTCCGGCAGCGCGGACAGCTGCTGTCCGCCGCACTCGACTGTCTGCTTGCCGCCCTTCCACTTGCAGACGCACACTTCCGGCGGACAGGCGACGATGCAGTGCAGCAGCAGCAGCAGCAGCAGCAGCTGGGGCAATAGTAATTGCAGTAGGCGTGGCATTTTCTTATACATTCCTCTATTGAATTGGCTTTGTCTTGGCTTTCGCTTCTATTTGGAGTCTATGTGCGACACTTGGTCACGTTTGCATGTCAAATTAGTAAATGAAGGTGACGTTTTTCGAGCTCCTCGTCCTCTTCCTTTTGCTCTTCCTCTTCCGCGTCACGCAAATAACATTAGCGCAGTCGCTGGAATATAACGTTGATCTGGCTACAGCTACAGCTACAGCTACAGCGTCTGCTTTAGCCACTCAGTCGCTGTCGTCTCGACTTGGCAGCAGAATCACGTTGCCTACTCGAGTGTCAGGCAATAAAAAAAACGTTTCCCGCTAGCCCGTTGCTGCTTCTGCTGCGTCTGCTGCTGCTGCTGCTCGTGAGGCTGGGCCGCCATTATAATCAGAGTGCGAGTGCTCATCATTGTGTCCACGTCCACGTTGCTGTCATTGCAGACTCCAAGTCCCACTCTTCCTCTCCCTCTCCCTTTCTCTGTCACTCTCACTCTATCTCTAGCTGGCGTCTTTTGTATTAATTTCATAAAAATGCCAGTCGCTTGATTTTTGCTTGGCAGCGCCTGTAAGTAGGCAATGCTTTTGTTAGTGCTGCCTCTTGGGTCCTGCGGCTTTGCTCCGCTTTGCTTTTACTCAACTTTATTCTACTCTAGCGCTCTTCTCCTTTGCTGGCTTAGCCCTTCGCATTATAGCCGTTGACTGAAAAGGTTTTTGTCCTTAATGAAATTATAACGCAATTCACTTGCTGCTGTTGTTGCTGCTGCTGTCTCTGCGGCTGCGGCTGCGGCTGTGGCTGCTGTTCTTATTGTTGCTGTTGCTGATATTGCTGCTATTGCTGTTGTTGTTGTTGTTGTCGATGCCTTGCCGCATGCTTCGCATTGTGTATGCGACACGTGTACTGATTTGTGCTATTGTTTTCGTTGCTCTGCCGCTGGTTAGCGTTGGGTTTTACCGTTAAGCTGCAAGTAAACGGAGGCAAGCAAAGTAAACGTTAGTTTTTATAGCCAGTTTTTAATTAAGCTCAAATATTTTCTTCAAAATTCAGTAAAAATATTCCATTATAATTATATATATTGTATGTATAGAAATATATTGCTGTTGACTAATATATGTATGTGTGTTATGAAAAATATATAAGTTTGATATGGATTGGGTTTTTGTATGAGCTTAAGTCTACTTAATTTAAAATATTATATAAAAATATTTATATATATTAAATTTATGAAAGCTAACTTAAATTTAAATTTGATGCAATTAAAAGCAATTAAAAAAAATATATATTTTTTTTCATATTGTACAATATTTTAATGAAGTTAAAAACCAATAGATTTTTTTTTTTAATATATATTAAATACACGAACGAAAATATTAAAATTGCATATTATATGCAATATAATTTCAATATTTTGAAATATTTGAAATATTTAAAAACAAAAAAAATTATATTTTATTATATATAAAAAAATATTTATTAAATTAATAATAAAATTCAAGTATTATATGCAATGTAATAAAAAATAATTTAATATTGTAAAAGATTTTCTTGAAGTTAAAAAAAAAAATAGATTATATAATATTATGTATTACAAAATTACTAAATATAAATATAAATATAAATATAAATATAAATATAAATATAAATATAAATATAAATATAAATATAAATATAAATATAAATATAAATATAAATATAAATATAAATATAAATATAAATATAAATATAAATATAAATATAAATATAAATATAAATATAAATATAAATATAAATATAAATATAAATATAAATATAAATATAAATATAAATATAAATATAAATATAAATATAAATATAAATATAAATATAAATATAAATATAAATATAAATATAAATATAAATATAAATATAAATATAAATATAAATATAAATATAAATATAAATATAAATATAAATATAAATATAAATATAAATATAAATATAAATATAAATATAAATATAAATATAAATATAAATATAAATATAAATATAAATATAAATATAAATATAAATATAAATATAAATATAAATATAAATATAAATATAAATATAAATATAAATATAAATATAAATATAAATATAAATATAAATATAAATATAAATATAAATATAAATATAAATATAAATATAAATATAAATATAAATATAAATATAAATATAAATATAAATATAAATATAAATATAAATATAAATATAAATATAAATATAAATATAAATATAAATATAAATATAAATATAAATATAAATATAAATATAAATATAAATATAAATATAAATATAAATATAAATATAAATATAAATATAAATATAAATATAAATATAAATATAAATATAAATATAAATATAAATATAAATATAAATATAAATATAAATATAAATATAAATATAAATATAAATATAAATATAAATATAAATATAAATATAAATATAAATATAAATATAAATATAAATATAAATATAAATATAAATATAAATATAAATATAAATATAAATATAAATATAAATATAAATATAAATATAAATATAAATATAAATATAAATATAAATATAAATATAAATATAAATATAAATATAAATATAAATATAAATATAAATATAAATATAAATATAAATATAAATATAAATATAAATATAAATATAAATATAAATATAAATATAAATATAAATATATATGTATATAATAAAATAATATAATTTGTATCATTATATGTAAACAAAAAATAAATAAATAATATAACATTTTAAAAGTAGTGGAATCCCCTTAACATTTTCATTATCTATTACCCTTATGCGGTTATTATATCCAAACATTAAATAATATTCATGTTCTTTGATATATCTTATTAGCAGAATCTCTGTAAATTTCTTTCTATTATATATTATGCGCAAAGTCAATTTAAATTTGACATTTCAAAAGAAGTCATTTGCAAGTATAATTATAAATAATTTTATTTTATTGCGCACAATATTTGTGAGATACAAGAGCAAAGTGAAATAACAAATTGCAATTACGACTTTTCAGCGTAATATTTGTTGCCTCCTTTGAAGCGTGTTTTTTACAGACATCCAATTGCATGATAAATGATAAGTTCGTAATGTTTGATTGAATATTTAATATATGCTTCAATATTATTTTGTTTATGGTTGCCATTATTTGGCGCTGTTATTGCAATAATTACATTTTTTTTATTCGCGTGTCAATACGCACACACACACACACACATGTGTAGAGGCGTATGTGAGCTTGTTTATTTGCGTACTTTATTTCAGGTGATTTATTTTTAATAACTTTTCGCTGACAGTTGGCAAATATTTCATCGAGCTGCACTCGATTATTAATGTACTTTCATTTCGAGCACTCGATGCGGAGTGCGTGCGCCTGTCCATAATGAATCCGGCGTATCGCTTTCAACTTGAAAGCGAAAATGCAAAAACATGAGCCGGATAAAATTATATTCCATATCCCATATAGCAAATATGCAAATGCGCGCAAATGAAAATGAAATCCAAAACGAGAACGAAACCGAAAACGAAAATATCAGCTGGAAATCATCCAGCTGTAAAAACCAATTCCATTCAATTTGTTGCCTTTAATTGCATTTCATGTTTTGTTAATGCCGCGATCCAGCGCACTGCCCGTACATAGCTGTTAATTTTCCAGCTTGAGCTGGGAGAACGGGGGCTTTGGGGCATATTATTATTATATCTCATTGTGCTGATTGCTTGCTCATTATTGGCCTTGATATGATTTGACAAGGGCACAGCTGTGGGCTGGCCTTTAAATTACCTTTGGCAATGGCAACAAGCTGACATTTATATTTGCGCAAATTAATCAAAGGACATTCAAGTGGCAGAAGACAAAGGACAAGGCAAAGGCAAAGGCGACGTAAACCAAAATGTAAATAAGCAAATGCCCAGACAATCGAATGAAGATGGCAGCTATAAATCATGCAACATATTGCAGTGTAGCCAATTTAGGTAAATAACATATAAATTACACTGCAAGTAGATAACCAGACAGAGAGAGAGAGAGAGAGTGTGAAGAAGAGAGAGAGGGAGAGAAAGAGTGAGAGAGACAGCGCAGTCAGACGCCCTCAAAGGAAATTGTTCGAAAAACAAGGCAAACAGCAATTGTGTTATTCGATCCAGCGGAGGCAAAGAATTTCAGCAAGCCACGCGCTTCATTAGCCACCCACAACAAGCGGAACTGGCTAACTGACTAGCAGACAGACTGACGGACGAACTGACTGACTGATGAACTGACAGAGTGACTGCCAGGAGTGAATGTTGGCTGGCGCCAATGCAAATGCGTAATGGATACTTGGCAGTGCCATCATTTCCTGGGCTAACAAATTGACTTGATTTGCTTTCGCCTTGGCAACGGCTTTCACCTGAACTGAGCCTTTCCAGCATTATTAATAACCAGGCATTAATCTGGGCCTCGTCGTTGTCTATGCGCAGCAGCTGCCTTGGCCCGGGCTGGCTTTTGGCCAAAATGCTTGGCGCTTAGCTTGTAATTGTTGCCCAGATTCAAGGTAAAGCCGAGCAGGCTCGAAAAATTCATGAACTGTTTAATTAATGAGTTATTGTTGCATATCAGCGCTGCGCAGCAACCACTTGGAAAACAATTCTAAGCGGCCAAATCACGTCAATCAGTTACGCAAGGAAACACAAAAAATTGTTGTAAATTTATATGCTTTAATGCTTGTCAATAATTTACCAGATTTAAATGGATATTGCTTTATTTATTATTATTATTATTATTTTTATTTAATCGCTTACATATATACATATATATATTTATTTTTCTTTTAGGTCATTTGTAATTCATTCCACATTTGCCATTCTCACAAAAGAGCTTTACTCAACTTCCTCCCTTGCTTTTTATTCTTTTGACAAAATGCGATTAAAAACATTTTTGGACTAGAAACAATTTGCGCATGAAATATAAATGTATAAATTAAGAGAGATATATACATATACATATATATATATCGGAATATATCCATATTGAGCATTCTCATAGTTGATTTTAAATTACTTTTCACAAACGAACGTAAATGGGGCCGCTCTTTAAATATGCATGAATTTCGATGTGAAAATTGCTTGTGAAACGGAATGAAAATGAAAGAAAATGAAGGAAAATATCAATTTGAAAATAGACAAAAATATTTCTGTTGCTTGTTGTCGGGTTGTTGTTCAGAAAGGACATTTCGTGTGAGTTTATGCTGAACGAAACTCTAATTTAATTTATGCTCGCACAAATACAAGACATTTCTCATTTGGCAGCAGTTTGCACACATTTTTGACATTTTCATTTGTCGGCTATGAAACAGAGAAACACACACGCACACACACACACACACACACACACACACACACACACACACGCGTGCTCATTCTACTACGGAACTGTGCGTGGGCGAATGTCTAAGCTTCTGCTGTTGTCCTTGTGTGCTCGTGTTGTCCTTATATCCTTATCACAAAATGTTTTGACAATCAAGAGCAAGCCAGCAGTTGAACTGAATGTCCGCATCTCATGTCGTGCCTTAAAAACTTCACTTGTGTTACAATAGAAGCAAAGAGTGAGAGAGTGAGTGAGTGGGGGTTGATGTTGGATCGAGACATTGGGTAAATCATACAGATTTGTACCTTCCATCACTCAGCTAGGCAAAGCAACTGCTTCACTAATAAATAAACATTTTGAGCATTTTATTTCCATCTCTCATAGCATTTCATTGAGCCCATTGGCATGTCTTAGATATCTTCTAAACTGCTGTCATTGAAAATAATTTCAATTTCTGGCTGTCAGACATTCGCACCGAATTGGCATTTGCCAGCAGACATAAGCAATTGTTTCTTGCCCTTCTTTCGGGGCAGTGGGCATGGGCAGGGGGTTTTCATTGCTCGTTAATAGGCAACGCGTTCTGGTAACACGCGGCGTAT